TAGGGCGAAAGGAAACCCATATGTCTCCTGACGAGGCCTCCACCCCGGTCTTACACGTTCAACAGCAAGGGGCAAGAAACAGTGACAGCACGTGAAATTATAAAAATAATTACACGCCGAATTTCGAATGCCGAATCGAATAGGTGTAGAGTCGGACTTCAAATGCAGCATCCCGGTGCATTGTTAAATTCTTAGAAATTTCGAATAGCTCACGAAAAATCCAAAATGCCAACAGCACCCAAACAGGTGTAAAAATTGTGAGAAAAAAAAAGCGCGATTAGCCCCCGCTGGCATAACACAGCTCCGGACTTCCAGATTCTCCATTTCATGTTGTTGCGAATACTGCCACACGTGAACGTCAATCTATCAACCACTAATCGTAAGAAACGGACGTTCCATCTTTATCCAGTTTATTCCGTTTTTTTTTCGTATTTTTTATGCGCATACATTTTTACTGACCATTAGGTGAAAATTAAAAGCTCTCGAATGCAACCTTTCCCTCGATGTTACTGGTAACAGCGGCTTTCGTTCACGTGCATAAAAAGGAAACTTGGTTCTTGAAGTACGGCTGCCCTGCTTGTAGGTAGTGTCTAATGATGACAAACGGCCCCACCGCGGTGGTCTAGTGGGTAAGGTACTCGGCTGCTGACCCGCAGGGCGCGGGTTCGAATCCCGGCTGTGGCGGCTGCATTTCCGATGGAAGCGGAAATGTTGTAGGCCCGTGTGTTCAGATGCGGGCGCACGTTAAAGAACCCCAAGTGGTCGAAATTCCCGTATCCCTCCGCTACGGCGTTTCTCATAATCATATGGTGGTTTCGGGACGTTAAATCCCACATATCAATCATTTGCGACTGCGAGAACGGAGACAGCAGCGAGCAGTCGAAAAGCGGGAAATCCCGACTGGCTCGGATGCTAACATTCCGCGCGTTTTGTGAAGAAATAAGTGGCGAGGAGAGGAGATAGCGCAAGTAGAAATTGGGCGAGAAAGAAACTATAATGTCTCGCCTTTGAACTCACAGTGGTTTGAACCAAAATTAGCACGGGAGGATAAGATGGTTTGACTAATACCACTCGCTGGTCATGACATGACATAATCCTTGTAGATGCGCAGCACATTAGAAACTGCAAGCTGAAGGTAGAGAAAAAAAATAAACAAACAAAAAAGCGCACACTTTTTACCATGACACGTGCCGTTTACAGCGATTTTAGATGTGCACACAGAAACTATGCAGTGATTTCAGTTTCACCTGAAAACTGCAGGCCCAGAGTCATAATTGAGTTAATGAGAAACTCTATGTTAATGAGAAACTCACAAGTAATGAGAAACTCTATGCCCACAGTAGGGCGCCAGTCTTTCATGCTTCTTTTCTACTTCGTTAGTTGTTATACGTCACCAATGCCTTAAAAAAGTTTTTTAACTGTTCAATGTTTTTTTTCTTATAATTCGTCATTCGCCTTTGTAATGTGCTATACCTCTTAAGAGGGCAAGTGCGGACAAATAACTAAGCAATGTCTATGTGATAAACGATTGATCAGCGCTTGCCTTCATAACAGGCATTTTTTTAATGGCAGATAGCAGAGGCGAATTAAGACTTACAACGTCTAAATATCAATCAAAACAGTCGATTATAAAATCTTGGAACAATAGTAACAGTTGTACAAACGATTAAACAATAGATTGTCTTCTTCTACCTTTTCTTACCTTACGTTTTTACATTGCACTTCTTTCAACGCGCGAGGCATTTACCCAGAGGTTGCTGTCAGAAATGACCGGGTAATGTATCAATCATTTGCATATCCGTTTTGTTTGTTTTTTTTTTCTCAATTTCTGAGGTGAGGTAGCAAAAAACGTCGCACGATAACAAAGCACCCGAAATATGCGCACTTAAAATGTTGAATGTATACACAATTAATATTTATATCTTGGCTTCCATTCTAGACTCTCTCCCCCCGACCCCCCCCCCCCCCCCCCCAAAAAAAATAATAAGAGACTAGCGCCAGTTGAAACGAACTGTTGGGAGCTTGGCCCCATCCACGACTCATGAAGCCAGTAACTTTTACTTAAATTAATATACTGAGATTGGTTTTGCACCGGAATCCAAGAAGTTAGTTTATTAAAAGCATTTCACGCGCACCTGTAGTCATTTATACTAGACGAACCGAGAAATAAAAAAAGAATCAATATTGGAACACCAAGGTCTGTTTTATTTTTTAACCATGTACGATTGATCAAATACATTTTAAAAAGGTATGACAGGTTAAAGTACAGTAAATTATGACAGCACACATAAAAGAGCATACCGTGAGCGTCTTACATTACATACTGCAATAATTACTATACGTCATTGCAACGTAATGCACGGGGGCTACCATTATCACATTGTGGTAAGAACTGAGGGTCACGGAGAAATGAAACGAAATTAAAAACCGGCGACAGTCGAGAGGCGTGCTGGTACGTTTGCTCGAATTTCGTCTTGAAGACGAAATGCGAACAAAATGGACAGATTTCGCGCTCGACTGCTCCTGGAGAGACATCGACGACGCAGCTTTACTTGCCACTTGTACTTGATTCGCACTGAATAACGTACTAATTCGCGATTACTCGAGTTTACACATCGTCGAGCCATCTTGTAACACCATATCCCAGCATTCTCATTATTGGCAAATCACATAATGTATGTCACAAGACATTGCAAGGCCACAAGAATAGTTCCATGTTTACTAACGGGAAAAAAAAAAGCGCGAAAGGCGATGTCGCATAAGCTTCGGAACACGCAGTAGCATTCGTCCTGTGTGTTGCTTCGCTTGTGCGACGCCTTCTATCACGCTGTTTTTTCTCATTTACGGATGTGCGAACAAACCTATCCCAACGAACCACACTCCTCGAATTCGAAGTTTGGTTTGGTGTTCAGGTACACTTGTACTCTCTAGCTTTTAGACGGGACACCTGTCTCCAGGACTCATTCCTAATCAGTCTACGTGGCAGTATGCTGCGCCCCCTCGAAAGCAGCCACTCACGTAAACGCCGCATAGTTACAAAAAATGGACAACACAGCAGCCCACGCGGTTATGTTGACATGCGACGGCCGACAGACGAATGAAAACACGCAGGAAACGAGGCGGAGAGCGTGGCTAGACGGACATGAAACAAAACAAACGAGACCACCACATCGAAACCAGAGCGGCGCTAGCGTGCGCCATGGCGAGGAGGAAAAACACATTTGCAAAGGTTGAAAGGGCCGCTTAGGAGCCATAAGTGTATGCGGAGCTCTCCCAGAGTCATCGAAAGGACCCACTGGTTAGAAGAAACTCACGGCGAATGCTCGCAAACTGCACAGTCGCCGTTAAGGAGGACACAACACACACTGCATTTTTCATGCAAATATGGCGCCCCCGATTTGAAGCGGCAGACGACAACAGCGGAGCGACTGGAGAGGAGGACGGCGGCTGAGGGAAGGTTCCGGCGCGACGCTGCGGTGGCGAGCGAAAAAAAAAAAAAAAATACGCCGAAAAGGGACAGCCTCGGCACGGCAAAAACTTCCTCCGTTGGCGACGCCAATTCATTAGATGCCGCGAAATAATGAGACGTACTCGGGGAAGGTCAAAACGCTAATGAACAAGGAAACGCGGCATTTTCTTTTTTCGGCAACGCACCGGCTGCGTTGCATGTCGTCTGTGAGTCGCCCGGATGTAGACATCTTAGAAGCGTCGTCAGCTGATCGCACACGGCCTCTTGTTACTACGCGCCGCCAATTTCCCGGCACAAGGATATAAGCGAACGAATTTAACGGCAACGAAGTCCATTTAGACACGACAAATGCTTCCGATGCACGCTGAGCACGCAGCCATCGTCTTAGGCGGCGATAATAAATAAACGAGTAAGCAAAACTACCTGCGCGAGCACGAACGAGATCAATCGGGGGAGGCATCGTTCATACGTGCATTTCTCTAAGGTCGCGCCATCGCAATACCGAGTTAAGCAGGGAGCGCAACGAGCAAACGTTTGGTAAGCATCAAATAACCCAGGCTGACCGACGGGACGCGGCGATAAGGAGTGCGGCGCCCAGTGACCCCTGCAACGTGAACGGCGTCTGCAAGGCTTAGCAGATTGTCGCAGCTCGAGGTATCTGTTCGGCGGCGTTGGTCGCCAACGAAAGGAATGGCGATTGAACGGAACGAAAAAACTCGGTTAGTGGGAAACCTCGCGTGATTTACATGCTCGGTTTCACGCAAGTGCAGTGCAGGAAAGTAAACACAAGCGAAATTCACGTGTTGCTGTGCGCAATGTGCTCTCGGAGTAGAAACGGAACTAGAAAATTTTACGTAATAAATATGTACCGCAAGCAGTAGCTTTAGCCTAAAAATTGCGTTCCGTAGTATTACAGTGACCTGCACTGTGCAATCACAAGTGTAGTCTAACGAAAATACAATTGTAAACATTGCCCGTTCCCTTTCCAAAGGACAACGCTATAACCACATGGCGCATTTGCTTGTGCAAGATTGCCACGCAGCCTCAAAATAATTTAGCCACCTACCTCAACAGTGGCTAGCCAGGGTTGTTTCAATCCACAGTACAGGTGAGGTAATCCAATCAAAAGTAATCCAGAAGACACAAACACCCAAAATAAAATCTCGAACACATTAAAATGGCGCGGAAAACGATTCAATTTGAATCTCGTTTATCCATGGCCGTTGCGTTTCCTCCCGCCAAAAGCAGCCAAGCCAAGCGCCAGACGTTGTAGTTGCGTACGGTCGTCGATAAATTTGTACGCGCTTATTGAAACTGGTACGAATTATATGCCGACAATAAATCTTGAGACCAAATATTCAGCGCAATTAACTGTACTTCAAAAGGCACAAACAACAAAACTCAAATACGCAACTCAAAAATGAGCTGCTGCAGTACGGGAGCAAGTAACCGCTCGAGTTCTAGATAGGATTTCAGCTACGGCGCATATCAGAACTGAAAAAATGACACCCCTAGAAAGAACCACACACTGTTTGGTGAAAATATGGGTTTATTACAGTTTGCAGACACGTAGCACGCCTTGCAATTCTGGTGCGATACGATAAAAACAAAGAAAATAAAAACAGCAATGCACCGGGTCCCGGGAATCATCCTTCAGATTTCTTCGGCGGCCTGTAAATTAGAAAAGAAATTACTTGGCAGAATATCCCTGCACAACGAACAGCACGATATCAACGCACGAATCGAGCGTTTTGTATAAATACTTGGTACATTTGCAGAATATATCCTAAAGCGCCACGGATGCGGTACAGTGCTGCCATCTGCCGGGTCCACGCAAAAGCACACTTTTTTTTCTTGCTGCGCGCGCTTTTTTGAACGATTATTCGCTTATTTAAGCCTCTACCTGCATGTTGACCTGTGCGAGCACCAATTCATAGCGAGAGTGAGAGACCATTCTTCCGATTTGATGCTATAGTCACAGTGTAGCTAATCTGAATGAAAAAAAAAAAATTCTGGTAATGCATGACCAGCAGCACAGTGAATATGAAACAAGCTAAGCTTGTTTGTATATTAAGATGTCATTCTTGCCCATAAGGTTACTGCAGCTGATAAAGTTCTTTATGATGATTAAAATAAATTACATTGTTTAGAGGGTGGAAGACAGACAGTGTTACACATCTTTCTGGTCCCTTACACATACTTTAGATGATTATACTGCAGTCTTCATACATTGTGTACACCTAATTGATTGATTGGTAAACTGTGTTTAATGTCCCAAAACCACCAGCATGATTATGAGTGACACCGTAGTGGAGGACTGTCGATTTCGACCACCTGGGGTTCTTTAGCGTGCACCCGAATCTGACCACGTGGGCCTACAGCATTTTCGCCTCAATCGAAAATGCAGCCGTTGCAGCCAGGTTTCGATCCCGCGACTTTCGGGTCAGTAGCAGAGTACCTCAGCCCCTAGACCACAGCGGCAGGGCATTGTGTACACCTAGGTAAAGCACCATCACTAATAGAGATGATACACGTACACATCAGCATGCAATATATTAAAAACGACAAAAAAGCTTTGACTACGATTGCCTGTCAGCTTATGTACATATCCTCAGGGACCACATGCTGCACTAATGTGCTTATGAGCCAGAATGTTTCAAGCAGACAGTGGTAACTGTAACAAAGTAGGGTACCATCACAGCAGGCAGTTAGCTCAAGACAATGCAGTGTGTGACATCTCTCAAACATAATACAAACGCCTCTTTCCACCACAGGGTCCGGGCAGAAATGTACCTGTACATGCCAACGACCACAGCATGATCCCTCTCATAGGGCTCCAATGTGATTTGCTCCTGCGGCTTTAGCCGCTCCTGCTTCAGTTTCTCGACTTCACCAGCAAACACAGCCTCTGGCTCAGCCGTGGAATCGATGCAATTGGCCTGCACAAAGGTAAAAAGAAAAACAAACCTTGTGAATGAAAACACACTTCAAACTTTCTTAAATTACTGAGACTGACATTTGCAACGCACTGTTCCTGCTTCCATCCACTGCAATAAAAAAAAGCACGGCGTTTCAGAGCATCCACTGTGTGTTCAGCACCTGCAGCTGTTTAGGCTACGATGGCAATTCTCGTACATTCACCCCTGTACTTCTTTACGTCCTCGCACTTTGGAGACATTTCAACAAACAATGATCCTAAGTGTCCACATGCTTAGCAGCAAGTTGCGTTTTGCAAGAAATATTGTGAATATATAGGCATATTGCATCGATCGCACTGTCTTCGCAGCTCTATTGAAAGAAACTCCCTATGCACTTATTTAACGCCATTCATCTAGCATTGTTATTTGGATTTACGACTAAAAAATGGTCAAACTTGTATTCCTCTGCACAAACAATTTTTTTTCTTTAGTCATGTACCAAAGCACCAAGGCAAAGCACTTATTCCATAGTAGTGCAAGAGAAAAGGTGAAGTGCCGTCTATAACCTCACGTTATCTACAAGAAAAATACCACCACACACCTTTATGGATATGACGAAGTGCCCACCATTTTTGAGAAAGTGGTGAGCATTTATAGCAACTATCCTCGCCTGGTCAGGCTGAGCAACGTCTGCAAAGATGGTGTCTACCATGCCTGCAAAGCAATCATGTTTACGTAAGTATTAGCACATATTACTGCAGCATAAAGATTTTAATTCTAAGTAGAACAGGTGTTTTGAGACCGAGAGAATACGACAACCATCATGCGTTCTAGTAAATTTACAAATGTCCGCATATATTAAATTGCATACACACTAATTGATAAAAATTTCGCTGAGGAAAGAATGAATAGCACCGTGGAACATCAACTACTGTAAGAATCCTAACAAGCACAACCTCCCGCCCGCCGAAATGCTTTTCAGCAGGTCGAAATGACTATAAATACGGTAGTGGAGGGGGCTTTCCCTGCATGAAACCAAAATTCAAGACATGGATGCAAATTCCGCCCCTCCGAAAAAGAAAAGAGCACACAAACACTTCCTCAATACAGTAATACCTCATTAACTTAACTATCGTATATAACATTGCCCAAGTCAAAATTTCCCATGGCACTGAACATTCGTCTATACGTCCCATGTATATTTTCCCCTTCATCTCAAAGTATATTTGGGTCGATTGCGGATAACTCGAAATGTTGACTGGGAGTGGAACGAAAATTTTGCTGCCGAACCATTTCGCAAGATTCACACAATGCTGCCACACCTGAAGTTCGTTGATTACTTTTTCTTATGTAGCCGCATCTTACACTACGTCGATGCCTTCCGCGAATGCAATGCCGCTGCCCACCGATTATATCAACTTTGCCAGGCAACCCTGTAGCACATCATGTGACACATGCGCTGAGCAGAGGGCCCTCTGGCCATGCTTGGCATGGTCCTCGTTGCGAACACCAAAAGTAGAAAAAATGCAGCAGCAGCATGTTGCCATGCCCTAACCTGTCTCGTTTTGCACTGCTGGCTGAATCCGCTGCCGCTGCTATCGGTGCGTCTGCTCGTGTCAAAAAAGGTGTAAACCGTTTCTTTTCAGTCCTTTGTATGCATAACTAGAACTTCATATTAATTTTAATGCTCAGGAATGAATTCTCAAGCAATTACAGCGGTAGTGGCATGTATACAAGGGACATAACAAATGTGGACATTTTCAAAGGGTGCGGACGTGGTTTAGCGGTCACTCTGGCGTTTTCCCCCCGACTTTCCCAAGACAGATTTTTTTCGAGTCAACCTCGGGGCATGTTTTGAAAACCGCTTAAGCGGCGATGCGAATGAATTTTCAATAAGTTTTGCTGCTGTCCCTGCCGTTGATGCTAAGTGTGAGTGCGTCTAATAGCGCCAGCAGCATGAGTGAGGGTACCACGGCACTTTATTGACAGGCGGAAAAAGCAGCAAAGTTCAAAAGGACATCATAGACCTTTTTTTTTTTTTCAGCAAGAAGTAGTTGTTCCCAATAAAGTTCTTGTTGATATAAGTGATCAGCTTCATTGTTTTTGGTTTATAGGAATTCAAGATAATATAAATATTTTGCATGCTCTCTTCGAATGCGTATTGCCGAAATTTTACTGTATAACTATATAACGAGTTTTTGGATATAACGAACTTATTTTCAAGTAGGATGCTACTTTGTTAAAATGAGGTTAGAGTTTATTTTAAAACAAATTTCAGATGCAGGCACTTGGAAATCACGCTGTTAAGCAGCAATGAATCAGATTAAAGAAGGCCAGTGTTGCTTGATCAACAAGTGGAGGGGATGGGTGGGGCATTCTCCGAAGTATGAAGGAAATCGTAATCAACAGTCGAATCGGAGGGAGCGCTTACTTGGAATTTTACGGTAAGCACAAACAATAACAGGAGATGCTTGGTAAAAATGGAACACTAGACTGGCGAGAAGTGGGAGCCGTACCAACGAGCATCCGATACTTGTGTGGATGGCGGGCGTCCTCAATGATGGGGATCACATTTGTCCTCTTCTGTGCCACGCCGATGAGGTCACGACCCGACCTGTGAGAGAATTCGACAGCGTAGACCAGGCCCTCCTGCATGAAGATTCATAGAAGAGTTATTTGGAAGCGTGAAAGGAAACTAATTCAGTTACACATCTCAACAAAGAAAAAAAAAAAGACTAAGGGGCCACTGAAACATTTTTTGTGTAAAGTGAATGCACCCCTCAATAGACGCTGCTGTCTACCCCTTTTGCATGGGAAATTCAAGGGGATTTCTCAACTGTTTCATATAGCTAATAATTCGATATATCCAAGATCGACTGTACTAAAGAGTGTGTTTTTGCTTGCATTCATTTATCCGGACAGTCCAATCGTCTAGACGTTCTCGCGGCCCCTTTAGGGTCCCGCAAATAGCCCGTCGACTGTATTCGAAAACTCACAATGGAGACAAGCGCTGAATCTGGCTCCTACTTATCGCCCACAACTGTAGGGCCTCACCAACAATTTCAATCACAGTTGAAACCCTTTAAAAGAGACACTGATATAAGAGACCAATGGGTATAAGAGACACCGGTGTGCCTTCAATAAAATACGCAGTGATAAGAAAATGCATACATGGTAATACCCGTCTTTAAAGGGCCACTTACCAGGTTTGACAAATTTGAGCTGACAAGCGCAATGCACAGACGAGGCGTTCATGATCACGTCTGCCAAAATTTGTAACGTTACGCGCTGCGGAAATGGGCCAAATTTCAAAAGGAACGCTGCTCCCCCTCCCTTTTGCCGGCGCGCGCCCAGAAAATGAGGGCATAATGTGCGTGTATGAATGGCCCTACGTACACGGCAATGCAGTGACGTTGGTCCTCTACGTAGACGACTCTGCTCTGACATTGCAAACAGTGGCACGTGACATGGTGAAAATGATTTAACACGGCATGCGTAGTTTATGTACTTTGTTGCTTGAAGAGATTAATAATAATTTGTTGCTTGAAGAGATTAATAAAACTCTAGATAAATCATGAGACACAATAAGGAAATGTGAGCGTCCTTTTTTTTCCATTTTTCTCCTGTGAAGTGCAACGAGAAGCGGGGCTAATGTGTCCGTGTTTCGCATGTGTTCGTGTACCCTCGGTCAACGCACCGAGCAGACAACCACCGTGAAACGCTCCTACGCGTTCGCGCACTCATCGTGCTCATCTATTCTACCGCGTCTAAGCCAGCATTTCCAAACCATCCTGCAGAAACAGGCAGAAGACCACAAAATAACGCTGGTCAACAAAGCAACGCTGCTGGCGTGCTCGGGGGTGGACTTGTTTGGGCACGTCATGCACACGTGACCTCTTGGTCGGATGCCGGAGAGGGTGGGGAAGAGATTTGGCTTGCAAAGGCTACACGGAGGAACGGCAAGGGTTTCAAGCTCGCCTCCTCTCATCCTCATTTCGCGCCGCTTCAAAAAACCTGTTTTCTTCGCTCGTGATGAACCGATTCAAAACATTTTTGTGGCAGAATGTTCCTCATCGGACAACCAACAACTTCCACTGTCTAACTAAAATTTGGTATAGGGCCTGGTGAGTGGCCCTTTAAGAGACATCTCGTATAAAAGACAAATGATGCCAGGAGCAAGGCTCTTATAGAGGGCTTCAACTGTACAAGTACGATGCATCCAGGAGTTGATTTTGGTGCCCAACTGATAGTATGAATAGAAAGAACATTTTATTAGAGTGGCGACAGCAAACCCATTCAACCCGATTGGGGCTGTATAACCAACTCGCAAACAAGGTCAGCTCAGAGATTGTGAATAGGTTATCTTTGCACTGACATCAGTTAGTGTAAATTCTGAGCTTCTACAGGGTTCAGAGTGTTGGGGTAGCAAGCTATTAGCTGTGTCTAGCACATTCTACACACCGCACATGCACTACAGCATAATTTTCTCCCATTTCAGAGCATTTCTCGTGGGATTTCCATAAGAAGTGCCATACTCAAAAACAGTCCATAATGGATAATTTGCTTTAAGGGGAGACGCGGGTCGAAAAGTCGCGGTTTTCCGGAAAATTTTCGCTTTTTTTTTTTTCGGCTGTATTGGCATCCTTGGACTATAATCTATTACTTCTGAAAATATCAAGCTGAAATTCGCACGAGACATTATCAAAAAATGCTTCCAAGTGGGCAGCGGTGACGCGAGAAATGCGCGAAAGTCGCGAAAAACGGCGAAGTTCGCGTCGTCCTGTCGCAAAATAGACGCGTTGGCCGCCATTTGCAATCGTGCACGCATGCTGCGAAGGCCGTATCCTTCATAATCCACTAGAAGCCAGTCTCGTGCCTTCACGCAGAATAAACAAAAAAAACGAGAAAAACAACGCGTACGTCACGCGTTTTGAATATCGCGGCACACAGCGCGAGGCTGCCATTGGACGGCGGTGCGCTCCACGCTCCTCCCCCTCCTATCTCTCCGGCAAAAGAGCGAAGCCTCAGACGTCGCGATCGAGTTTTTCTGCGTTTCTCTGCATTTTTGCGTCATGGCAAGCCCGAAGAAGTGCAGTTCAGATAATCGAAAGTTCAGAACTCGCTACAAGTATCGAGGGAAACGGCGTCGGACGCTTCGCAAAGCGACAGCGAACGACGATGTCGCCCCCGACCAACGCCTCGACGCTCCGACTTCGGATAGGCCTAACACCGTCACCGAACCCTGCGACAGTGGTTGTGAAATAGCCGCTGCCGTGGAATTCGTCAGTGCATCCCAAAGGAAGATTGGATTCTTCGAGAGTGAACGTAGACCAGTAGATGCTGCTACTGCGAACATGCTGCTTTGCGAAATCGATGCGCTGACGGCACTTGTGGCGGGTGCGCAATGCCCAACCTGCCGCGAACGGAAGCTCGGCGTGCGAGAGGCAGCTGGAAAGCGCAAAGGACTTTCGGCATTCCTCGAACTGTGCTGTCAAAATTCTGATTGCCCTGAATCTGCACTTTCGTTCACGCACACGTCGAGAGGTACTGCTTCGGCCGGGGACCAAGGAACGAGCGCTCGTTTTGACAGCGGCAGCTCGCGTGACAGCTTTGCTGTAAACGTGAAGGCAGTTCTGGCAGCACGCGCTATAGGCGCAGGCCACGACCAACTTTCACGATTTTGTGCGATTCTCGGTCTTCCGAGCCCGATGCATCACAAGACATTCAACGGCATTTGCAAGAAGCTCCATGGTGCGGCGATGACGGCAGTAAGCAAAAACTTGCACCAGGCACGAAACATCACGAAGGACGCAGTCGGCGGTAGAGATGTGCCAGTCATGTTTGATGGCACCTGGCAGAAAAGAGGTCATAAAAGCCACAATGGAGTGGGCACAGTCGTGTCCCTGGACACGGGGCTCTGCCTCGATTATGAAGTTCTTTCGAACTAGTGCCATGCTTGCAGTATACACAGGGACCTTGGGGAGGATGAAGAGATATGGCGAGCTTGTCTTATGAAACTCCACTGCGATTCACCAGCTTCCTAAGTGATGGTGACAGCAAGGCCTACACTGCAGTCTGCGAGGCAAATGTATACTGTGACACCCCCATTGACAAAGAAGAGTGCACGAACCACGTTGCAAAGCGCTTGGGAACTGCCCTACGGAAATTGGCAACGCCACTGCCACGAGGCGAAAAACTGAAAGATGCGACAATAATAAAACTACAAACATATTACAAGATCGCCATCACAAGCAACAAGGACAGTGTCCGAAATATGTACACTGCCATATGGGCATCGTATTTTCATTGCTGCTCCAGTGATGGTGCCAGTAGCCACAACTTTTGCCCCGCGGGACCAAATTCGTGGTGCAAGCACAAGCGTGCGGAAGCACTGGGGGAGCCTGCACCACGCCACACCCCACTGTTGACGAAGGCTCAAGGATTGGCAATTATGCCTATCTACAAGCGCCTTACAGAGGAGAAACTCCTTATTCGGTGCCTTCATGGCAAGACACAGAATGCAGCCGAATCGCTGAACAGCAAGATATGGCTGCTATGTCCAAAAACAAAGTTCGCCTCCAGAACAACTGTGGAGACAGCCACCGCTCTTGCTGTACTCTGGTACAACAAAGGCCACAGGGGCTTTGAAGAAGTGCTCGAAGGCATTGGAATTCTCCCCTCACAAGATCTGGCCACACATGGTGACCACTGTGACGTCATGCGCATCAGGAAGATGAACCTGAAGCAAACTGCAGAAGCGAGGACACACCGTCGCAACACAGCGAAGAGAGCTCGTGTTGAGGACACTGACCGCAAGAGCCGTGAAGGACCAAGCTATGGTGCAGGGGACTTCTAGACACTTGCAGTGCATTCAAGGCAAGGTACTTTTCATTGTGCCCCAATTTGATGCAAAAAGAATGATTTCCTAATAAATGCCAACTTTGCGAACTTTCAAACTTGTTTTTCTCATTTTCATTTTTTCTGACAGTTTCACGTTTTCCGGGCAGCCTTTTAGAAACTTATATTCATTGTATAGTAACGAAACTTGGCACACATATTCTTCAACACATGCAGAATGCAAATATCTACTCTAAATTGCAATGCCTACCAGCATTAGTTGTGAAAGTATTAGCCTATTGTTTCAAGGGAGATTGAAAATAATAAGTCATTCAATACAATTTTTTTTTCTTGGTTCCAATATTTCTGTGACATATCTATATAGATATTTGCACTTTTCAATCTACCAAGAGTCAAATAAGATCAGACACAGTGCTTTTACTGAAAGTTTAGTACATAAAAGAGTGCCCACAAAAAATGTAACTTTTTGCTATTGTTTATGGCATAACTCAATAATTATAGCAGCTACACAAAAAATGATTGCATATTTGAAATCTGCATGAAAAACTATACTAATAACAAACTTTTCAAGTCTCTATTACTAGAAATAAAAAAAAAACATTTTCGAGGAGCGTCTCCCCTTAATAAAATTTGATATATTTGGGTTCGATTGTATGTCTCAGATGTTTAGGTGGGCCCGTAAAGGCAATAAGAAGCAGACCCACATGGACCTGTCTCATTTGCACACGTTTTGCAAATTGTGTTTGAACCTTTTCGTGGAAAAGTCGCATGTATTAGATCAGCGCCGTAATGACAAAGGTGTGAAGGAGTCTGTGGAATAGAACAAGCTCATTGGCAAGTACGCACAATTTTGCATCAAATATCTTGGATGCCATAAGTAGCTGAAATTCCCATCAACACATCACACGTAGTATGGGCACTCTTGTCATTCTTACCCCCTATATACATAGCAATTATCCAATGGCCACAAGGACCTCAAGCCATAGTTAACTATCCCACTGGAACACCTGACTCACCGGCCCGACGATGTCTGCCACGTGGGAGACAGTGGTGCCAGAGGCCGCTCCCAGGTAGAGCACCTTAGAGCCTGGTGGCATGTGTATCTGGTCCACACCACCAAGGATGGCTGCAGCCAACTTGGACCGGAAGGGGTTCCATACCCTGTACTCCATCTTCACCTCATTCTCCTGAAATCACGAGACAAATGAAGAACATAGAATTCGGGTACGTATTTCATATTCGGTGCACATTTGGCCATTCAAGGTACTACAAAAACAAGCAATGCAACTAGCACTAACTTGCGCTTCAAGGCAGACACCAGCACATCGTATTTTCTGTCCCAGCTTGACAGATTACCAATCTCCTAAATGTACGGTTATAATGTGTCTGTTTTGTATTTCAGGGTTTTCCACCGCACCCATGTTATTGACATAATTCCTACTGTCTTGTGTAATGTCAATGAAACTATATTCATGGTCTCCAATAACCTTTTGTTATCTAAAGTTAGCAATAATCATGAAAAAATTAGCATTGTTCTTTTTATGAATTTCATCATGAAATTCTCTATCACGTGATCTGAAATTTATGCTTTTGAGGAAAAATTGAAAAAAATTGTTTATTCAATGAATAACTGCTGCATTTTCGTAATTTGCTATAGTTGCCTTGTTCGTACACAATTCTCCAAATGCTAATCTGAACACTTGTAATCTCTTTATTACTTGTAACACTTCGAAAAAGATTATCTTTTGTCGTTCTTATTTTAGTTTTTTCTTTGTATTAACATAGAAGGTCCACCTGTGGTTTGTAACCTTGGGACTTCCTTTTGCATATTTACATGTTATGTACATTTCTGACCCAAATAAAGAAAGATTAAAAGCTTGACTGCAGCCCCTACAGAGCCTCCCAAAATTTCAAAACTTGCCACGGTAACCAGTGGGCTTGTGCGAATATCCGAGCGCTTCTAGTATTTAAACGAGTATTACAATATTCCAATTCACTTTGGTTTAACTTCAAATTATTGAAAATCCTGAAGTATTCAAAATGAAAGAATAGATGATGCGTTTTACTCAGCATGTAAGCCCATTGTATAGGTTGTTTCACTGCTGTATAGGAGTGCGACATCGTGCATACATATTTCCAGGGGTAATCCGCATTGCCACGAAGCTGGCCTTTAAAAAATTGAAAGGCGAGAGCGCAGGGGTAGGTCAGGCTGTTGTGTCTGATTATCGTCTCGCCAAGCTCAAAGACTTGATCAAAGAATATGGGCCTTCAGACACTTTCAATTGTGACGAGATGGGGCTGTTTTTCCGAATGCTGCCGAATCGCTCTCTGGCATTTTCGGGTGACCCGTGTGCTGGCAACAAGCTCAGCAAGGAGCACATCATAGTAATGGTTGGTGCCAACGCAACCAGAACAGAGAAGCTCCCTCTTCTTGTAATAGGAAAGGCGAGAAACCCGAGATGTTTAAGCGCAGTGAACCCCCCTGTCGACATACGAGAGAGCATATCGAAAGCACAAATCACCCAATCTTTGTTCGAGCAGTAGGTACGAAAAATTGACTGCAAGTTTGCGCATCAGCACAACAAAGTCATCTTCTTCGTAGACAACTGCGGCGCGCATGGAAGCGTGCCTAATCTTGAGGCCATTCGGTTGTAATTTTTGCCACTGAACACCACAAGTGTGCTCCAGCCAATGAATGAAGGCGTCACCAGAAATATAAAAGCACACTACCCTGACCCGTGCTGTGCCCTGACACAAAACCCTGACCGTGCTGTGCCCTGACAGCGGCAAAGCCTACAAACTCGTTGTCCTAGTCACCATCCATCTGCTAACTGAGGCATGGAAGGCAGTGAGGCCGGAGACCATCACGAATTGTTTTAGGCATGCGGGTTTCAGTACCGCTGAAGAGGCTGAGGCGGGTGAGCCGGACAATTGCAGTTTGGACAGCGCAATGGATGGTGACAAGGACTTGATTCGCGGTCTGCAAAGTGATGGAGTGATTGTTCTTGCCACAATGAGATTTGAGGACTTCGCTCGTGCGGATGACAATATGGTTTCATGCACTGAGCTCACAGAAGATGAAATTCTACGGCAGGTTGCACCGCAGCCAGAGAGCAATTCGGATGACGACGAAGATGACCGTCCGCAGCCGTCGGCGGTACAATTCATTGATGCGGTGACACTCTTAAGAGGAGAAGCGGGTCTTGAAATGGCGAAAAATCGCAAAAAAGTAGATTTTTGAAAAAGTACAGTATTGCGAAGTGCAAACATTTAATAATCTCCCGGTGAAATCTAAAAGCTGTATTCAATCTAGAAATAATAGAAGTAGAATAAAAACTGCATTTTACATGTCTAGGTGGAGGCGAAATGATTGAAAATGGGCTAATTATGCTGGAAGTTCGCACGCTCGTAACTTCTGAACGCGGTGACCAGGCACCGCCATCTTGGTGTCATTTTGAAACTGCTTTCTTTGTGCGTCTTTTGCCTATCTTGAAAATGGCGCCGGTGCAGTGAGAGTGACGCTACCACTCCTTTTCCAAAGGTCGCTTGCGCGCACGTGATCGGTCAAAGCGCGCGTTCGCCCTGCGCGCTGGCCTTCTTTTGGTCTGCCGTATTTGTTTTGCTTTTTTTTTGGCCCAATCTCGAGTTGTGATCGCACACTCGCTCAGTTTGGGATTTTGGCTGCTCCGTGAGGTTCTTCATGTTGGCAACTTCACGACCACGTTTGAACTACTGCGATTACTAAGCTGCTCAAATGTCCAAAGACATTCGTCTGAAGAAAACTACACGCCGCGCATTCGGAAAGAAATGACGGTGACCATGAAATGCCCAACGAAATTCGGCGAGGCATGTCCCACAATAGCCGCTGGACGGATTGAACACGCAACTGCATCCAGCGTGGACGCCTCGAACCATGATTCACGAACACATCATAATTGCGGAATTGCCGGCTGACGCATCAAATACCGCGCCGCAGCCCACTACATCGAGCGCGTGCGCCTCATTCAGCCATGCCTCAAGTGCTGTCTCGGAGCACATCGGGGATCGTCAGCTGGCAGTTGGTGTTCAAAAAAGCAACTTGGCACAGGTAGTGTGTATATTTTTTCGGCCCAGGCCTCGAGTGCTATCAAAAAACGCATCGATAACGGTTGCTTATCGGCTGAAGAAAATAGCCAGCGTGCAGGAAGTGTGGCCAACGTGAAAAAGCACTTGGCATCAGGTCGGAAACTGAACGAAAATTTGAACTTCTCGGCGTGGATACGGAACAGGAGAACTTCAGTGACAGTGGAACGGAATTCTCAATTGTACCTACTTTTGAGTGTGTTTAATTACCTTCTCAGACTTATGATTTGCCCCAACTGCGGTGACAGTGTCTAAGGAGCAAAGAAAAGAGTAGGAGGAGGAAAGTTTAAGCGGAAGGACGGGGAGGTTAGCTAGTTCTTAGACCAAGTGGCTCAATGTGAAAGAAAAAAAGTACTTTAGTGTGAAATTAGTGATGGCATGCTCAGCGTGCGGCATGCACGATGAGCAATTTGCTTCACTGAGGGCGACTGAAGATTCATCAATATCGTCATTTAGGTATGCAATCAAGACTATGCAGCCTAGAATACCATGACAAACAAGCTCGTGAATAGGCACAAGCCAACAGTAAACACTACCTACAGTCCTGGCCAGCTGTAAAGTGTAGATTCAAGCCCTTGTCATTGTGAGAATTAAATATTTTTTCCCCCTCTTATTATTATTGTGACCCTGACGTAGGTGCAAATAGCGACAGCACAGACCACATAAGCATGTCATTTTTGGGCCCAGTGTACACATACAAGCTGAAATACAACGGTGAAGTGTTTGGTAGCAGCTTTCTGGCACTATCTACAAGGACTATGCATGCTAATACAGCAAATTTTTCATGGTTCCTGTGACATTGTTGAAACATATATGGCATTATCTCGTTTCTGAAAGGCAAAACTACATAATGATGCCATTAATACAGTTATGTTGCAATTCCACATCAATTTGTGGAAAACTACAAATGCATCTATTTCAGTTTCATGATTTTAGACGTACAGTCGAACCCCGCTACAACGAAACTCACGGGGTGCGGAAAATATTGCATTGAAGCAAGAATTTCGTAGTGAAATCGAAAAAAATATAGCTGATCTGAGCTAGCAAAACAAAGGAACATTTGTTCTTAAAATTAAAAAAGTGTCCGCTTTTCCCAGCAGCGCCACGACCCGATTCACAGTCACGCGCAGCGAAGTCATGGTGAAAACACTGAAACAACGCCTACAACCGCATTCGTAAACGTACCGAACAGTTGCATAAACACGTTAACACCAGCAGCCGTCCACCTTCAAAGTGTATCCGACAACGCCGAGATGGGGCCAAGCAATCGTGGAGCGGTGACTTTTGCCTTATTCTATGCCATTCTTATCATCCAAATCTCGCAGCTGGCTGATTTGGTTGATAACGCGGATGAACAGCCACTCTGATTAGGTAGCACACTGGCCAAGCGTGAATAAAATGATAAGCATTGGAGGCGGAAAAGGCATCGCACCGCGGTTGCATCCAGCAGCTGCATGAAGGAAACCATGAAAAAGTGAGCGACTGAGCTTCAGCTTCGAATCGTCTATGGCTAGAAAACAAGCCAGTGGCAAAAGCAGGGCCATCCACCATAAGCAGGGCAGTCTTATTGCTATCTCTATCGAGCAATTGCGGTGCCCATGCTTGGTGAACAGCCGCGGTTTCTGGTGGTGCCAGCGTGTGTTTAAGACTTTGTCGACATATTTTCAAGCTCTTAAAATGCATTACAGTGTTAATGATTCGGTTTCCTGTATAGCAATAAATATCTGAGCCTGGAATTGCATCGTGAAATTTCGTTGAAGCGGGACAGCAGAAGAAAGTGTTCGTTGTGGCGACAATATTTATGCATCGACTCCTATGAACTGCTGTTGGGAAACTGTAAATTTTTCGTTGAAGCAGCGTTCGTTGTAGTGGGGTTCGACACGTAGCCTTACGGGGCGTTTTGAGATGTTTTTATTGACTTACAATAACAAGTTTGATACTAATGCGTTCATATTGAATAGATCTAGCCGGTGAAGCTATTTATTTTCTTTTGTGTGTTGTTCAACAAATATTTCGTGATGATTGTAAACGATATAAGGCAGAAATTTTTCACTCATGTTTGTATTAATTTATTTTACATTTAAAGTTTGTTGCAAACAATAAAATTAGCATCACTGACTAGACCAGCTCTCTGGCAATCTGGATATATACTTTGTTTTGTGTTTGGCATGATGAAATCGCCAAAAAGCCTCGTAAAAAATGTTATTGTGTATTATAAAAATTTAGTATCTTCTGTTCTCACGCAGCTATCGAAAATCTACTTAGAGATTTGGAATCTGTGAATAAGTGTATCAAGTTTCATTCAATTCAGACAAATAATAAAAAAAAATTTCAGCACCCACATCTCCTCTCAATGGGCGTTAACGGCGAGGATATCACCCTGCTGCAAAAACAGGCAAATGAAATTGCTTGTAGACGTAATATCAAGGACTTTTTTAAGCCAGCCTGAAAGCAATAAATTTTATTTTGGCAAAAACGAATTTTTTGGACTGTTCAAGTTTTCGGACTATTCTTCGGTCCCCTCCAGGTTGGAAAAATCAATTGGCCGCTGTAAAACATGTTCTGTGTTAAGCTTCTGTGGTCACTCACCTCAACTGAAATTCGCTTCTCTCCATAGACAGACTCTCCGACCACGAGGTTCTTGGTGACAAGGGCGTCTTCTTTTCCACGTGCAATAAAGACACCTGGACAATGAGAAAGAATGCCATCACATCACTTGAAGCTCAGAAAATGGCAATTCTAAAATTTTATGTCCAAGAAAACTTTATTAGCGTTATGAATTATCCACTGTAGGCGATGTTACACCCCTCTTACACACAAAAAGATTCAGATTTCGGAGTAAAAACAACAGAACTAACGAAATAGTTTTTAAACACTGCCTGATGGCGCTTCACAATACTGTGTGGCAATGGGAAGATTGACAATACATGAATGACGAGACGCGCTAACTGCTCGCAACAAATTCTTTGACCTAACAATAGCCTCAACTTATTGCTAGAGATTGCATTGCTGATTTTGGCATGTATTAAAGACAAAATACAAAAATCCTTTGATATTACAGTGCAGTCCACTTATAACGATACCACATATAACGATATATCGGTTATAACGATGGGTCGACTTAACAGTCTCATTTTATGCATTAGGGCTATGGGGAAAAAACCCATATATAACGATATGTTATCCACCGCATATCGGATACAACGATGAAAAGTTTGCCGTGGACGGCATGTTTCATTCAGAATAATCGTAACATTTAGATTGATAAGTTCCTCTGAAACGAACTATGCCGAGACAAGGCGAAAAGTTAGCGTAGGCGAGTACGTATCTGCCGCCACTGCAGCACAGCGCCGGCAGCGCGTCCCGGCCGTTCAAAAAGCCGAGGAGAGCATCGCGAGTTGGCGCGACGCGCTACAGATGGCGCCAGCTGTGTCACGTTTTGCGCCTCGCTGCGCGTCGACCGCGAAGAGGCTGAGAGAATTAAAAAAAAAAAAATGCGAAAAGCAAAGCGCCGCGCTCCGTGGCTCCCCGCCTTCTACAACGGCAAGTCGGCAAGCTACTCGTAGCTTGCCGAAAGAAAGCGGGAAAGAGAGAGAAAATAAAAAAAAAAAACGAAAAGCAAAGCAAAGCGGCGGCGTTGGGGCGGGGCCTCGTTGGCATTCCGGCTGTGTACCTCTGGCTGTGCTTTCTTCCTCCCACTGCTCCCACCCCGCCGTCGGTCAGTCTCTCTTCCTCACCGAACCCGTGATGCGTTCTTCGGAGTAAGAAATAAAGTCTTGTTTTTGACATCCTACTATCTACACTATTTATTAATTGGTGAAAATAGCGAAATGAAGCCTGGAGCTACAAAAGGTACGTCCGGCGACGATTTTTTGGCGGCAGTCCAGATATAACGATCACCGGTTATAACGATCATACTTTTAGGTTTTCTCGATATCGTTATAAGTGGACTGCACTGTATGACCACTTTTGGAAGAATTACAGAGCTTATTGTGAACTGGTTCGGCCTTATCTTTTTAAATGAGCAACATACCTTCATGCCTGTGAGGCTCAATAAAAACTTTCTTGCCTCCCCTGAAGCCACCTGCGATTGATAAAGACAAGAACTGTGAGAGATGCACATATTACACTTCATATGAGCTTATCTGGCAATGTTGATTTCGATAAGAACTTGCTGACACTTAATGCACAATGTCATCAAAATGCTCAAAAAGTAATAAAAAGAAACTTCAACTCCCGATAAACGAAACTCACTTAACGGAAATGCCTCATTAACGGAACTAAACGAACTCATATGGTTGTATTTCTATGTCTAGCTCAGTAAAATTCATCGGTTAACCGAAACACTGCTTATTAGTCACCTACGATTAAATGGCACAAACGCTAAACACAGCATAGACTCGCTCATGCCAAAAGGTAGTCCCACAACCATGGCACCACCTCAAGACAGGCCGATTGAGTAGCCATTCTCGCTTGTACTATAGCGCCTAGAATATACTGGTGTGCAGACAGCCAAGCGTTTCCAATGAGAGATGCTGGCACTACCGATGACACTACGGCTGGCACTACCGAGTTCCCCCGGAGGCCATCAGACGGCGACACCCTTAGGGACCGTGCTATCCGAGCGGCGGGGCACATTGAGACCGCGCGTCGCATGCGCCTCGCTTGCGCTTTGGACGCACTTCAGATGTGTGTTCGTAAACCCAGTCGGTTGCGGTGTAGTTGAGGGGCATTTCTGCTGTTGCGCACATAGCGCATGCCTCTGCATGTCTTTGCCGTGATTCTTTTCTGTGTGCGTTGTTCACGCATGTGTCTCTTCATGAAACCGGGATGCCGTCGCAGAAAAGAAGGCATAAGGAGAGTGCCTGATTTTTTTTTTTTTTTTTCACATTGTGTGAGTGGATACTGCTCTAATAACAAACGAATCTTATTATTCAGCGGCCCTGAAGACCCAGAACACTCAGCCGAGTGGGAGAAAAACGTGAAGCGAAAAGATCGTAGGCTACCACCTGACATTAGAAATATTTTAGTGATGGCTACATTTAGCACTCCTTCAAAATTACAGTAGACGGTGCCATCAGTTGAATTCTCAGTGAAAAACTCAAACCGAAAATTTGTATCCATTTTATTTGCAACTGTCAATTTCTTTCCACGGACAAGATGTTTTCTCATTTAAACCGGCGTTGCCGACTCCGGCATTTCTACGAAATGAGCTCTTTAATGCTGTTGTGTTAGTTTTCATTATTTATCTTGCACCACTCGACAATGTCCGCATCTATACCGGGTAATTCAATAAATGAGTCAAAAATCTTCAAAAACGAAGAAAATTCTATATGTGCTGTGAAATTAAGCTATTTAGGTTTAATGAATTCAGCTAGCATCAACGTCATTAGAAAATTGAAGTTCATGTGAAGAACTCATCCTACTTTTGAGCAATAGCTTATAGTAAATACCGAGAGTGCGGTATTTGTTGAGTTTTGTTGTTGATGCGAACTTTGTTGAGCTTCATTAGAGTTGACTTTTTTCCTCGGAAACAACCCATAGTTATTTATCTATTGGTAATTTTTTTATCAAACACTCGATATCATGTACCGTATTAATGATAACAGGGCCATAAGTACATTTGTAAGTGCAACGAAAAAATATTGCTTTGACTACGCCTCGCCTCCCAAACAGCCTTGACAGTTCTAAGTGGGCTGGGAGAGCCCGTAGGCGCCTGTCACACGCGCAGGTTGGCTGGAGTGTCGGTAGAGACACGGCCGTGGTACAGACGCCGCCGACACTACTCCCCTCGGGCTCTGGCTCGAGCCGCTCGGCCTAGCACGCTCCCGGCGGCTATCGCCGTTTGGCGGCCGCCGGTGGAAAACATCATTCTCCTACCACTGCAACGGTCGCGGTCAGCACACTAGTAAGCATGTTCTAGGCACTATACTTGTGCTGGCTGCGGGAGCCGAGCCTGCGAGTCAGTTGTGTGTTAGGCCTATTTGTGCGGCTAGGTGCTGTGGATCACAGTGTATATTTCAGCCCGATGGAGAGGAAGCGGCCGCACCATACACTCTCGCTTGAAAAGAAGCTCCAAATTCTTCAGGAGCAAGTTCGAAGCGACCTGCCCAAGATGGAGGTGGCGAAAAAATGCATCTCAAAATTCATGCTGCCGTGGATCTGGAAAGACAGAGAAAAGACTGAAGGCGCTGTAAAAAACGGTACCTTTACCTCTAAACGGATGTGGCGACGCCTTATGAAGAACTAGAAAAAGTTCTTTTTTTGTGATTGAAGCGTGCACAGAGTTCCGATTTGCCCATAAGCGGACCAATTCTCGAGCAGAAAACTCAAAGAGATTGCCATGCAAATAATGGTTGTTCAGAACTTCGCCCTAAGCGAAAGACGGCTCAGCTGCTTCAAAACACGCCAATGCCTAGTCTTTAAAGCAATCTCAGGTGAGAGTGCTGCAGTCAACAGGTACATTTGCACCAACTGGACAGGGAAACTTTGATGAGCTCTAAGCCACGTCTTCAACGTCGATGAGACGGTCTTTTTTATAAAGCCCTTCCATCAGACTCACACCTTCAAAGGCGAAGCCTGTAGTGGAGTCAGTAAAGATCGCATCACTGTGCTGGTTGGTGCAAACATGGCAAGAGATGAGAAATTGAAACTGTTGGTAATAGGAAAATCAAAGCACCGACGTTGTTTCAAAGGCGTTCGACAACTTCCTGTTGCGTACCATGCGAATGGAAGAGCGTGGATGACCATGGTCATTTTCAAAAATTGGCTACGGGTGGAAGACGCAAGATTTACGAGGCAAGGCAGGAACGTTGTCTTCATTGTCGATAATGGCCCAGCACACAGTCAGGTTGAAGGACTTCAAGCCTGGAGTTCTTCCCAGCTTATGCAACGGAAGTGAACCAGCCGATGGATCAAGGGGTTATTCAGAACATGAATGTTCATAGATTCATTACCCCAGACAATTGCTCTATCGAATGCTGCTTTGAGCAGACAGCAGAAAATGGTACAGCATAAATTTATTGGCAGCCATCCACATTTTGGCTTGTGTCTGGGAGCAATTGAAGGCAACAAAAACACACAGATGCTTTCACCATGCTGGCTTTCAAGCGCAAGAAGCAGAACCTGATGAAGAAGAAAGCCCTGCTGATGCCGACATTGAGACAGTATTCAGTCAGGTCGTGCTCTCTGCCCCTTTCACGCTGCAGGAATATCAATCGATTGATGAAAATGTTCGTACCAGTCGTGAGGAGACTGTCGAGGAAATGATTGACCAAGTGCAAGATGAGGATCAACCTTCCAGCGATGAAAATGACAATATTGCCGGTGCAGTGGTGCCACCAGATAGATTAGCTAAAGAGGCTGTTGAAGTTTGCAGTGCTTTTGCAGCGCTATTTTGAGCATGAGGACTGTCGAGAATTTATGGCTAGTTTGTGAGGCATGGGTGCACCATACCTTGTGAAGAAATAACTCAAGCTAGCCAAATAAACCACCATTCACTCCTTTTTTTTTTCTACTCATCCACACGAGTAAGGTGAGGTTTGTGTATTTGAATAAAGGTTTGGATCGTTAAATAAATGCACTTTGCTTCAATGAAACTTCTGATAAATGGAATAGTTTTCTGGACCTCCGAGCTCCGTTGAAGAGGAGTCGACTGTATGTTGATTTTCAGATTAACCACACACACACAAATTGAATCCAGGCAAAAAGTTCTCTTGCAAGAGTGCACTACATCCAATTCCCAACTTTGAATTATTTCAACGAATTGTGGATATTGGTCTGCCTGTGTTTGCAGCTCCAAGTGTGTTTGTGTATGTACACTTACAATGATTGAAAAAAAAAAAAAAACACACAAATGTCTTGCACTCACCACGTCCTCCGCCACCACGGCCTCGTCCACCTCCTCTGCCACCCCTGTCGCCCCCTCTTCCACCACGGCCCCCAAAGCCACCACGACCTCCGAAACCACCGCGACCTCCAAAGCCTCCACGGCCTCTAAAGCCACCTGAAACAAGCAGAAGACTGTTGATGAACGTTCCTGAAGATATGCCAGATGAATTAAAAGCTTGTAAGCTTATGAACATGTGAGCAAAGCTACTGCTAGGCTATCAAAAAAAAAAAAAAAAATAACTCTCAACACACTACCAAAGCTTTCAACGAATAGCAACTACCTGGCAGTATACAAGTTTTTGTATGTGGCCCACAGCCGGTACTGGTTTCACCTATGCCCAACAACACGCATAAAAAGTGGTGCATACGGCAGTCCGTTACGAAAGGGAACATTCAAATGAATGGCATGTGCTCCGCGGCAGATAGCTACTTGGAGTACCAGCATGAGCAAGCACGTAGGACGCTTTTGGCATCAGCCTGAGTAACAAGCAGCACAAGACTGCACTGCAGGTACTGCTCTTTCTGCAATTGTACAGCAAGGAGATAGCTTAGGACATGCTTACATATCAGCTATTCCTGGTTATTGTGGCTGCCAACAAATTACACCAAAAGTAGACATGCTTGCTGTACACAACTTGTATTGACATCACTGTGGTCGCCATCTTCAAGTACCAGCTGGTTAAGATGCTGTGTGCTTGCTCAACCGCGCGGAGCAAGAAACGGTGACACCAGATTAGTGCTGGTTTCCCCTCCAATCCTTTCTGTTCCCCCTTGACGCATCTGGCAAACAGAAAAAATCCCGGAGAGGGAAAAAAAAGAAGAAAAACATTGGGGGGGGCAAGCAACTGTCTGTCCATCCCTGTGTCCCGACACTCTTGAATGCATTAAAACGTCAAGGTGACCACCATCTTCAGGTACCCAGCGCAGAGAACCTCTCTTTGACGTCACGTGCAAGTTAAATATTGCTGCCTTTCCAAGAACACTAACAAAGCAGTGAGGCGGCTTGGGCTAGTTGGTATGGCATGACAATAGTTATAGCGCGAGAACAAAATGACAAGTCCTTGGTCTCCTTCTTGTCTCTGTGTCGTCGTTTTGTTCTCGTACTATAACTATTGTCATGACACTAACATAGTCGATAGTTATAGCGAGAGAACAAAACGACGACACAGAGACAAGGACACAAAAGACACGAAAGTCCTTCTCGTCTCTGTGTCGTCGTTTTGTTCTCGCGCTATAACTATCGTCATGCCATACCAACTAGCCCAAGCTGCCACACTTCTAACATAGTGTTTTGGACCACCTAGTAATATGTCATACTGAAGCTTTAGCACACAAAAAACGAAGAGATCAAGTAGTGTGACCAACACAGGTGCTATACAAAGGGCGCCTGTGTGCATAGGTCGGCAAACTCAGATTGAGCAGTATGCCTGAGTGAGCTCGGTTGAGAAAAAATTTTAGCGAGTCTGGCTGAGGAAAATTTTGGCAAGTCTAAGTGACCATATTTTTTGCTGACATATGGCTGTGCACGTCACACGTTCCTTTGGCTGTGTTTTTTCAAAGAAGCTGGCACAGAGCACAGGCCACATGCATTTTCTTTTATGGGAGACCATAATGAACAATCCACCACAAAATAATACAAACCATACAAGTGTGCAGTGAAACTAGTGCCTGCACCATCGGCTGTAAGTGCACCCTTGTGGCCCGCAAGTTAGAGCAATGCTCTAGACAGAGGAGGCCTTTCCACTAGATGGCAATTTCACCATGCACTTGCGCACCCCGTATTATTTGTCACTGACTGTACATCATTTCTATACTGCTTGCATGGCTAAATATGTCAGAATGTGTAACATTTTTATCTAATGGGTTCAGGATATTTTCACTCTGCAGACCAACAGGTTTCTCTCTACAAGCGCATGTTTAGCAGGATGCATTAGTCATACTTTACTCCACTATAGAAGGCAGATTCACAGTAACTGCCTAGAAGCGTTATGTCGCTAGAGGACAGAGAAAATAGTGATTACGGTGTGCACCTTTGTCGGCGCATACCACTGACGCACTAAGAAAACATGTACGTTTCAGTGAACCAAACTACACCAAGCACATACCACGTCCACCACCATCTCCGTCGCCGCCGCCGAAACTGCTCCGTCCTCCGCGGCCACCACCAAATCCACCACGGTCGCCGAAACTACCTCGGCCGCCACGATCACCACCACGGTCGCCAAAACCACCTCGGCCGCCACGATCACCACCACGGTCGCCGAAACCACCTCGGCCGCCACGACCCCCAAAACCTCCACGGCCGCCAAAACCTCCGCCGCCTCCGCCACGATCACCAAAGCCACCGCGGCCACCTCTGCCGCCACGATCACCTCGAGGAGTGAAGCCTACGAGCAAGCAAAAAATTGACAGCTCTTCACGCCATGATAAGATACAGCTCTAAGCTTTCCCACAAAGCTGAACAAGTGCACCAGCTCGAAGCACGCCGTCGGCGCTGCGTTTTCTGTGTTGCCTCGGCGATATCACTAACAGCCATCGTCGGCTAGTCGTTTCAAATCACAAGCTCTCGACGTTCGAATACTAAATGCTGCGACAGATAAAACGCGAGCACGGGTGTCCAGACAATAACAAGCCAAAGTAGTCGTAACACTTCAACAAAACAAAAACAAACAAGATAGGGCGGTTTCAAAACGGCGCGCGCGGAACTACACGATTCTGTTCTGATCAACGGCTCAAATAAAACGCTCGACAATTCGTTGTAGCAAATTTTGTGAGCGTATGGGACCGAAATTAATGAACACTAGGCTATCGGAGCAAATGCTACGTTGAAAAGTACGCTGGTTTGGGAATGCTGCCGCGATGTAAGACGACAAAACAGCACAAAAGAGAAAATGCCGGCAAGTCCGTGTTTTGGCCAGTCCGTTTTTTTTTTTTTTTGATATCATATTTTGATATGGTCAACTCGTAGAAAGGCCAGCTAGACCAAAACAACCAAGATGGTGACGGTAAAGCAGGTCGCAAGTGCATCAGGACGATTACAAGCAGCGAGCGTTAAGGCACACAATAAAGCCTTAAAGGCACTTGACAATGCACAGAGGCGTAGGAGAAGAAAGCTGTTGAACACGAATTTGAACCAATCGTTCCTGTCACCGCTGCACGCAGGCCACTCTTCACGCGTGCGGCACTAAAATACCGCCTGAAAACAACAGCGTGACAACCTAAACGCTAATTTATGTATTACACACTTCATTAAGTCTGCGCTGAAAGACTCCGTAGCCGTCAGCAATTGAAAAATCGTCGCAAAAGCCAATCAAAAAGATTACCTGGTCGTCCCATCTCTTCCACCACGTGTTAGCAAAAACCACGCTTGCTTCTTGCGGCAGCCCGCGTTGCAGAGAGAACCGGTGAATGCCAACAATTAAACAGCACCGCCCTCCACGACACCGCAAAAAAACGTCAATCAAAAAATTTCACTTACAATTTATAAAGCATACATTTCAAGACATAATCTTATAGTTACAAGTAATAGTGATTACTCTTAAGTGGTATGTATTTTGAGCTAAGTTTGCACCAGTTTAAGGGATTATTTTTTCAAACGGACTAAATTGTACGACTGCGCATTACAAAGAATGGCGGTGCTATTTACAAAATACAAAAAACAAATACCTGAATGTTTGTTTTTACAAAAACTTTTTTAATTATCAAGCTACAAATGTGAAAACATGTATTGAATTAAAAAACTTACCGTTGAACGTTTTTTTATCTTTTTTGTACACAGCTTACTACCTACTTTCCTTAGCAACGTTGTGCTGGGCGATGTCAAAATGGCGTTGCACACAGCTGATTGGAGTCCGCTAGGAAAAGATGTTTACTACAGGTGACCATTCCTCTGTCCTTATTTTTCTAACTAAGCAAATAAAATTTGCACATGCTACCAACATTGGCCAACGTTTGTATACATGTGCCGAATGCTAGTACATAGACAATTTTGCCTCGGTGTTGCAGTTTAGGGGGTAAAAGCACCTCCGATATACGTCAATTTCTGTTTTTGTGGGACATTTCAATTATTTAACGCGCTAGATATGTGCTGTTGACTCTTCAGAGCGCTGCACGATGGTTCAAGAGTGTGCACCGTGTACTAGGCGTATTGAGCTTGTGTGCCTAATGTTTTGTTCAAAGTTCATTGGTGCTGATGGAAGCTCTGTAGTACTTCGCTGCTTCACTAGTATGTGTATATTGTGTTTGCTTAATGGTTCAGGAAACGCTGTGCTTTTCTTTGGAATCGTGCGGTCGTGTATATATATATATATATATATATATATATATATATATATATATATATATATATATATATATATATATATATATATATATATATATATATATATATATATATATACAAGGGAAAGAAGTGTATACCTAAGGGCTCGTTTTTCCGTGTTTTAACACAATATTAATGAGATATAACAGACAGTAATGCCAAGGAATGTACAGGGGAAGTTATTAGAACCAATGGAATGTAAATAAGAGAAAGAAGAAAGAAAAGTGGATGAAAAAATTACCAACTGTGAGCAGGAATCGAACCTACGACCTTCGAATAACGCGTTCGATGCTAATAACTTCCCCTGTACATTCCTTGGCATTACTGTCTGTTTATATATATATATATATATATATATATATATATATATATATATATATATATATATATATATATATATATATATATATATATATATATATATATATATATATATATATATATATATATATATGAACACTTTTTACAAGCACATGTGAACATGTGAAGGCTCTATAAGTCCTCACCTATCTTGGGAGTATACATTCAGAAATTAGGGGTGGGGGGTAAGGGGTAAGAAGCCCAGGGCTTCCCTTCAACCCCCCCCCCCCCCCTTTTTCTTGGTGAATCTGCCAGTGCGTGAAATGCATAACTGTTTAGCATATTTTTTTTCTCTGTACGTACATTTCTATGCAGGAAGTTCGAGCTTTATTCTATGGACTGGCAGGCGCAAAATTTTGACCTGTCAGATTTCATCGTTGCTTCAGCTCCATATGGAGGACCGATTGGTACGTACCTTTGCTGGGGGACGTATGAATGCTTGGTGCATAGTGGTATGCATTACAAGAAATATCTAAGTCAGGCCACAGTATGTTGAACGCATTTTGTTGACTTACTCTGCACACTTGTTTCTATAGCCCTCATCAGAGATGACCGTAAGGCCACCCGGATAAAGCTAGGCAGTGGATGCTTAATACACCTCTTTTCTGCAAGTGGAAAGACACTAGGAAATATAAAGGTAATGTAGCCACGATGGTAACTGCCTTCATATTCAGTTGCTTCGCCAGTGTCACCAGTACTGACGTGTTGTATTTGCTATCAAAGATGCCAAAATCTGTATCTGGTATTGTTGCAGCATGATGCTGGGGCTATCGTGGCCAGTGGGTTGGTCCAACGTGGAAAGCCTTGTTGTCATACAGAGGATGGCACCATAACTGAGTACTCACTTCAAGGGAGATTGCAGAAAACATTCACCATGGGGCAGGTAAGAGTGGCAGTATGCGAGTTATCGGGGCATCATTTTTGTGTGTGCTGTCCCATGAACAAATGAACCGATACAAGTAATTGTAGTTGTCAGTAATATTTCGTATATATTTGAAATCAGCAAAGTTGCACTTTTGCCACTGCTGCCCCCAGATTGTGTTCACTTGTTTGTTTCCTGTAGGTCTCTATTGCACACCAGGGCTTGGCAGGAATAATCGGAAAATTATTGGGGGTTGGAAGCCCCAAAAACAGACCTTTGACATAATGGGATGCTTCAAAGAGGCTTTTGGGAAAAAAGAAACAAGGGTAATCATAGGAATACAGATACACGAATACTGTTCTTTTAATTCGGAGATGCTCATGCCCCATAAAGACATTTATTAAGTGCAGTATAATGTTGTAATTGAAGTTTCAGGACATTGAAAGTTGCAGTTTATTTATGACGGTACCCTCAGCACCATTAAGTATTTCAGAGGGGACAAGTGTACACGACTCGTATTGCCAAACTTCTTTCTCATGTTTTACATTACTGGCTCATTGCAAGTGTAGATACTGCCTTGCATGAGCTGTTCTACAATCAATGTCTGGGAACATTCCAGATTATTATAGGATAGGCTTGAATGGGCAAACACAAACAGCTTTAGTTTATTCTCAAACAAGTGCAGCCACCAGTCATAATGTTTGATGGCGCATGTATAAATGTCGATGCACCTTGCCGTGCATCAGTTTATTGACCTGCCGATGCTCAGGTTGCCACTATCATCATAAAGTGTGTATTGCTGTAGTTTGAGTTTCATTTCCCGGCCACAGGTTTGGCCAAATAAAGAGTTTACCTCTTGACCCGCCGACTGCTGCTTTCGTCTGTGTCACATTCCTGGGACAATATTTACGTGTATCAATTGCAATAAGAAGACGCACTGTATCACAGCAAGATAATCAAGCATTGGACACCACAATCGGCATACTTGGTGGCAATAAAATGACCTCTGCTAGAAATAGCATACTTCAAGCAAATCACAAATAAGATGCAGTGAATTTAATAAAGGTATCCCTTTATTTTGCACTTTTAAGATCTATTTTGCTGTGAACGTTGCTGTATGACTTGCACTTAAGCAATACAAGCTTCTCGAGTAAGCTCTCTGCTAGACAGCATCTGTTCGGCCTGAACACAAGACTTGAGAAAGAAAAAAGTACGGTCAGGCTGCAGCACAAGAGCTTATATTAGTGTTATTGTGCATAAAAATCGCCCTTAATGCCCACTAGTCCTGCAGCATGGCGAAGTGATAGCTTGCCGCCAGAAAGAAACTAGGCGTGTTACACTCTGGCAGAGGCCGACAACATTGCCTCTGCAATTCTGGCATCAGCAGCATTGCGCCCTTTACCAAATGAACCATTCTGAGCTTTACGAACAACCATGCATTGCCAGCCTTCCTATGTCGCTGACTGGTGTTGCACTTTTGCTTGTATTGGCACACACAAAAAAAAATAATGCTAATAACCTTAATTTTTTTTTACCCCTCTCCACTTGAAAGCACGCCTCGGCTCATTTTCGACAGAAAAAAAGATGTGAGATACATGCATCCGCCACTGTATGGCAATGCAATTGATACATCGTAAATGTATTTAATTTCTGCGATACGCAAACATTTTTCAAATGTATTTCGATACTGAAACTCAGATATTCAAAAATATCTCTAAAAAAGAATACTATCGCGATACTGGTCAGCCCTGTCACGGTCGTAATGCATTTCGCACATGTGTGATAATCTATGCTTCCAGTGTCCTCTGTGTGTCATACTCTTTGCTACATTAGCTCCCAAGTTTTTGTACCACCCAGCACACCTAACCACGTTTCTCTCATGGCCGATTTCTTTTTCCGAATAGTAACTCAAATTTCTTATCCATGCACGTCCAGATTCCTAAAGACACGGGTGTACTCGAAGCTCGAGTGTTTTCCACAAACAAAAGGACTGGAGTGATTATTCTCACGGGGTCCTACAAGTTCTTTCTTGTAGAAAACATTGCTAGCTACAAAACCTGGCAGCTGGGAGATGTGCCGGGTATGTAATCTGCACCTATATTGTTCTTACTATTGCTCGGGAAAAGATCATAATCTGCCCAATAGTAGTTTGCAGGAAGCTGTGAATGCATGCAATAAAGTATTACCTTGATATTAAGTTTATTATACTAGAATTGTAGCTGACTTATCAAATAAAGTAAGTTAGGCAAAGTCGTATTCTACTGTATGCCAAGTCACAAGGCAGACAGAGTGAGTCAACAAATTGAACAAATGATTAACGATGAGACTATGGTGCCCATTAGTCCATGAGCTGCGAACATAACATGATCCTCATCATGAAGCGGCATGCACTCTCTTCATCCTATTCATCACTATCGCCTTCTTCATCTTATGCTTCATTCCCAGAAGACACGCACTGATTTCTGTGGCACACATTCAATTACTCTGATGGGTGAGCAATGAGCACAAAGAGAGAAAAAACATAAATAAACATAGAAAAAAAAAGAGAATCGTTACGGAAAAAATTTTTTTGCAAGGTGACATTCAAACCCGCATACCCATCATTTAAAGGCAAGCATCTGACAGGGGTACAGAACAACAAAAACTGACGAAAGAATCAAAACTCCGCTTGGAAGTTGCAACTATCCCGGTAAATAAAGTTAGATGCATTTTATAACAGCTGGCTGTATTTTGGGTGGATTGTCAGTGCACAGCGGCTGTACGCAGGGTCCACCCGTTCCTGTCCGCCTCTTCCTCTCCTTTCATCTCTCCACAAAGCACTGATGCTTTATCCCAGCCGAAAGCAGTGTCCGCAGTCGGTGCTCTCGTAGAGGCTGTGGGA